GCGCGAGTTCGAGTACACCACTTACATCTCCTGCAATATCTTGTCGAGAGAGAGTGCACGGCGCAGGGCATCACAAGGAAATAGGTCAGTGTATCTCGCTTTATGCTTTGCTTCAGAATATTATGAAAATTTAGGTTGCATTGGCTATCCAGTCAACGTTCAAGTAGCGGCTCCGCCATACAAGGAAGAAGCTGCGTTGCGCATCCTTCGAGATATCGAATTAGCTGTCCGAGGGAAGTAACGTCATTTCCGGAAGAAGTATCTCATAGTCCTCCATTTAAATTATTGTGATAATTGGCTTTCCATTGTCTTTGTCATATTATTAGTTCGAATTAGTTCTTGTAGGAATAAATATAAGACAGGTGATGAAATCAGGGACATCCGAGCGGCCCCCCAGCAGCTTACCGTAGCACCAGTCTCTGTTCCCGCACGCAGTCTCTGTCGCGGCAAATCATTACTCAATTGCATTCAGGTATATTTGTATTAATTGTTCATTTTTGTTGTAAATATTCCTTCCTATGTTTTATATTCAACAAGGATTGTGAATAATTAATGTCTGATAGTTCATAAGCCATTCTCAGGACCAGTCCTACTTGGTACTGTTTGTTCTCTGTGCCAAACGTATTTTCCCGCAAATGTATTGAGTTTACTGTATCTTTTTTTATTCAGTTTTCTTGCTAGTGTATACACTATAATAAATTATAAGTACTTTGAAGTTTCCTTGCCAATAAGTTCAAATATTGGTGCTGTGCGGAGTTTCGGGATGCAAGCAGATGAGGCGCGTGCCACAAATAGATATTACTTAAAGGCAGTGATCGCGTTGGCTGGAGGGCGGTGCTGCTCTAGTGACGTCATCGAACGTTATTGGTGGACTACACTCTCCAGAGCGCGGAGATGTGGTCGAGACCGTTTTTTGATTCCTTTCTACCAGTGACGTCATCACATCGCAACACTCTCCACCGAGAAGATCACTGCCCTAATCATAAGGGCGCACTCAACGATTGGAGGATGTGATTTTCTCGGTTTTAGATGAAAACATGAGGGGACCGCAACCGAGGACTAATGAAATGGAAGCATTGAAAACACTGCAATGAGACTTTTTTTTGTAAAATTTACAGGGTAACCACGTAGAGAGACTGGGTGCCAAAAAGAGATTCCAGACGACAGTTCAGTTCGGCGACACATAAAAGGACACGCTGCTATTTGAACCCTTGCGTTGGTAATAATAGGTGCAGCAGCACTCTAGCGCCCTTGCCGCAAACTGAACCACGGTAACACACCTCCTGCCTTGTCGGTGACTCTATCTTGCGATGGAGAAATCTAACTTATCTACTTTGATCGTGAACTTGCTTTGGAGTTGCTTGTAGAATAGTTCGCAGAAGATCAACGAGAACAATCGTCAACGCAGAGGATGCGTTAAAGGTATTGACCACTTGGGGAAACCCCTTCGACGCTCTTTGGTGCGATGATTGGTACCAGAACTATCTGGAAGATACAAACACCGAACCTTCACA